TCCCCACCATGCCACTGGGGTGGGGGGAGCGAGCAAGCGGCTGTGTGGTGCTTAGTTGCTGGCTGGGGTTAAACCACGACAGTGTGTTATCAACATTATTCTCATCCTAAATCCAAAACACAGCACTATACCAGCCTCTAAGAAGAAAATTAACTCTATCCCAGCTGAAACCAGGACAGACTCCCCCCTGCTCCTTCATGCAGAGGGAAGTCTATCCCATTAGGTCACAGGAGTGAGGAGGAGGAGGGTGTATGCGAGTGCACTGTGCAGCATCTCTCCCCAAGCTGAAGTCCTTCCAGAAGTCCATTCTGCCTGTGAGGGCTTGGATACTCGGTTCTTTGATGATTTCACTAGGTCTTTCACCATAGGTATGTTTTTTCTTAAACAAACCAACTCTCAGTTGCATGAGAGCTCAGAGTACTTTTTAGTGGCATCTTTAGTATTCGTAGTAAAGGAGAAAAACTTCAACTCTGAATGGTTCAAAAGCCAGGTGGCATAAAACAAGGCAGCTGGTTAAAATGTACCGGTTCTACATTCCTTTCCACTTGCGAAGTCAGTAGGAACACACTTTCGCGTTAACGCCACCCGATCGCCTTGGCGCAGTGGCGCCTTCTGGCGGCTACAGAGTGGCGGACGACGGGGGGGGCCCGGGGGGGGGGGGGGGCGGGGGGGCGGGGCCCTGGCCTGGGAGGTGTCTGGGCAAACCGTTCCGACGTCTTTCGGCGTGAACCTGCTCAGCCGTGGCCCAGCAGAGGCAGGGGAAAGCGGCGCAGCCCCGTGGGAGAGGGGTTTCGGGCTCCGAGTGGAATTGAGGGCACGCCACAGCATCCCCGAGCAGCCCTGCCTGACGCAGGAACCCTTCTCACCTGGTGTGCCAAAGACCTGCCTTGTAACTAGAGCTCTCTGAAAAGGAGTGAGCCCTACTTACAGGTTGGTTTTTTTTCTGAGACTCAAATTTCCTAAATCCTGATTCAATTTAAAAATAATGCTTTGAAGGATTTCAGAAACGCTATTTTTGAACGCCTGCTTGTATGGGCTATCCACTTGTGCATGTGTATGTAAGCACATGTACAGGAGCATCAGTGGAAGAAACGGGTACATCTGGTGAAATTAGGGTTTTGTGAGAAAGTGCTACAAGACCAAAGCAAAGCAAACCTTGACTCCTATATTCCTGTACTTTCTCATAGATACAACAGCACTGATGTGACGTTAAAAAGTAGACTTTGGATTTAGATTTTATCTGAGAAGAAATTAGCACCCTGTAGCTGCATTTGGCATGTGGCATTTAGTGTTTTGAAATAGCTCCTAGATCTTAGAGCAGCTCTGTGCAGAATTTTTACTGCAACGAATACAGACCATGCTCAGCTTCATATCAATAGACATGTCCATATCGATTTCATGTTAACCACATTATGGTCAAAACCTTATAAATGGAGTAATTTAAGGAAAAATCCCAATAAACCATTCAATGTTACATAGTCGAATAGTCACATACAACATTCTGTCACTATGGCTAGAATTCAAGATGCATCTAATTGTGAGTCTGCAATAGCATTGCAGGCAATTTGAGAGAAGGTAATTTTGCTTAAAGAGCAATAGTTTAAACGAAAAGTGGATCAAGCAAAATCTCAAATACAATCTTCCAGGTGCTCTGAGGAGTTATATCCGTATAATTTAGCAGAGCTGTATCAGTTCACCTTGGTTGAAGGTTGGGCCAAATAGGTCTATTCTTTCACTCATCATAGGGCAAGAAAGAGATCATAATGCTCAGAGGTGAATTCATGTGACAGTTATATCACCGGGGATACAGTAACAAAAGCAAAAAACCCTAAAGATAAAAAAATTGTTAAAATGGAAAAAAGGTTGAAAGTAGAAGGCAGAAGGAAGAGAAGGAAGAAAAGCCTTCATAGAATATTGCCCTATTCTTAAAAACAATAATCAGCAATCAGAACAGCAAGGAAATGTCACCAGACTAGAGCTTCTCAAATAACTATGCAGCACAAAAAGACTCCTACAGAATCCAGGCAGAATTAGTCTGATGAGTCAAGATCATTTAGGACTAGAGGAAACGGCCTCAAGTTGTGCCAGGGGAGGTTTAGATTGGATATTAGGAAAAATTTCTTCGATGAAAGGGTAATCAGGCACTGGAACAGGCTGCCCAGGGAAGTGGTTAAGTCTCCGTCCCTGGAGGTATTTAAAAGACAGGTAGATGTGGCGCTTAGGGACATGGTTTAGTGGTGGACTTGGCAGTGTTAGGTTAACGGTTGGACTCGATCTTAAAGGTCTTTTCCAACCTAAACGATTCTATGATTCTATGATTTTCTTTTGGGACATTAACCTACTAATTGTTAGGACTCTTGGCGGGAGACAGTGCTTTGCCCCATCAGGCAGGGAATGGAACTGAATTTGATGCATGCAGGGTCTCTTAGAGGTCTGTGTAAAAATGGGCAGAGGTCACTATTTGTATTTTCTCTGTTCTGGGATGCTCTGGTTCAAGCAGGGTGCTCCGAAAATGCCTACAGGACTGGGTCGTACAGGTGAACCAAGCAGAGGCAGTCTAATCTGTAGACTGGTCTTACTCATGAGTGAGCTAGTCTAAGGAATCAGACAGAATTAAGACATTATAGGCACTTTTGTGGATCAGACATTTGGGCACTTTTGAAGTTTTCCAAGCAATCAAGAGGCAAAATATATCAAGAATAAAGTGTGTTTTCTAATGATGCCGAACGTCCAGGAGCAATCATGACCTTTGTTACGAAATTTCACAATGACCGAGGAGAGAGGCTAGGACATGTTTTACACATGGTTCTTATACCCTTCAAGCGTTCAGGTACAACATGATTTGACCAATCACTACTTAACACACACACACTACTGTTGCAGAGCAAATATATTTCTATAGTGTCATCATCCACCTACAGTTACTTATCTATGATGCCAGATAATGGGAGGGTTTCACAGAGGTGTTAGAGGGGCTGGGATGCTGGCATTATCTTTGCAGTCATGGGGTACCCTTTATCCTTTGTGGACAGCTTTAAGATTCTGAGAAGCAAAGGTCCTTATCTCCAGGGTGGGGCTGTCCTTCTCCTTGCAATGAGCTGGGGTCCTTTAGTTTGCTTGCTTAAGCGTGGCTATTCAGTATACAATGTAAACTATATATATATCTTAAGAAAGTTAATACAGTTTCATACTATTAAGAAAGTTCATACAATTTCATATTATAAAAACTAATTGTTATAATAGTTAGGGAATGAGATTTTCACCTCTACAAACATCTTGTGCATTCACGGTTCACACTGATTTCAGCAAATCTGAAATTCAGGCTCCTTGTTGGGGGACCCTAATATGGATTTAGATCCTTGATTTTAATAGCTTTGCTATTAATAGTTTTGCTATTAAATAATTAATAGCTTTGCTATTAAACTGCATAGCAAAAGGCTAATGAATTTTGAGAGAGAAAAAGAAAGGATTGGTTAAATATCTTCAGTGACACTGAACTGTGTATATCATCAGTACCAAGATCTTGCTCACACTTGCTTATCATGCAAGTGTTTAAAGAAAAGATTCCTGGGGATTAAAAAGCTGGTGTCTCTTAGAAGTGTCGTATGTTGTCCATGGTTATTTTATAAAGACAGTGGGTATATTTCCTCACAACGGGGAGGTGACAAGTCATCACAGACGTAGTCTTCCAGCAGTTCTCTGTCCTCTGACCTGAAAATAGGAAGAGGAGCAGGCACAAAAAGAATTTAATGAACACAAAGCATGCAAGTAACCTCAGTGCTGTGTCCTGTCAGCCTTATCTGGGCAAAGCACTTCTTGAGACAATGCTACAAGATGAAGTTTTACTGCAATTCAACCTTTTGCTGTGTTCTTTTTGTGAAGTATAAAAGTGTCAAGAGGTGACCTTTGTTTTCATACTGCCCATGCCTGTTGCACAAGGTGCTGAGGACGATGGGTAAGTCAGCAGTTTTTCAAATAGACTTTGATGAAGGAACTAAATGACTTGTGTTCTAGGAAGGATATAATTCTGAGTAATTCCTATAATTAGATTTTTTTTTCTTAAGAGTAAAGAACTATATAAAATTGTTTTGTGTCTGATTAAAGCAGTTTCACACTGCTCTGTAATATCAGTGACCTTGTTTATACCCCAAAACTAGGAAAAGAGTAAGGGCTGGAAGGTTTCTACAGTGGGAGAGGAGCGTATTGTGACCATGTGTAATCAGGAGGGAGAGCATCTGGTACCAAACAGATTCTTTCATTGTTGTAAATATGTTGTGTGTGTGTTGACTCTTGTGATTCTGTTTGAGTGGAAGCCTCTGGCTGTACATATATAGCCTTCTGGTCAACAGTCATCTAAAGGTAGTAAGATAAGCATAAAAAAAAAAAAAAGACAGGCAGGAGCATATATACGGATATCTTTGAAAAGAACAAGAGATTTAGTAGACTGAAAATTGAAAAGGATTCATAAGTTAACTTAATTTGGATAAAAATGCTTTCCAGAAAAAGTATGTCTCTTTAGTCTTTACTCAAGAAATACTCCTAACAAAGCAAAAAAAAATTGTCTGAAGAAGGATAGCACCCTGGACTAGCTTTTGTTTCCTTTGAACCCATACATAGCACTTAAAAATACTCAGAAGTCTGTATACAAACATACTAAGACATTTCAGAAGACATACCTCTGATTCCTGGTATTCTCTGTGAGATAAGTAGCATAGTTTTCATCTCTGGTAAAAGATGGGTTATCCAGAGGGTAGGCAGGGCAGAAGTGAGCAGAGCCTGGCATGGGAATTGGTGAGACACTGGAGGAAATGGCACCGCAGCAGCTAAGCACTGGGTGAAGGTAGCATGGATTCACAGCAATGCCATCCTGGGCTGAGTATGGTGGAGGGATGTACTGTACCACTGTGGTGCTGTGAAAAGTTATAGCCTGGTTAATACCAGTGAACACAAAGGACTGTCCACTTGAAGTCTGGTCGAGGTCTGATGTATTTTCCTCTCTTTCTTTACAGGGCTTGCATGTAAGCATGTTAAATTTACAAACAGCAATCAGAATAAAAACCACCCTGACAGACAGCAGAATAGGCCCTAGTAACTGAGTCCATTCCAGGTGAGTAACGCTGTTGTATTTTATCCATCCCATCACGGTGAAAGTGATTGCCACCAGTCCCAAAAACACACCTGAAAAGAGCAAAGTGGCTCCAGCTTTATCTCCATCTGACACCAGGACATTGGATCTGTTTGGCTGATAAGAATAGAATAGAATAGAATAGAATAGAATAGAATAGAATAGAATAGAATAGAATAGAATAGAATAGAATAGAATAGAATAGAATAGAATAGAATAGAATAGAATAGAATAGAATAGAATAGAATAGAATAGAATAGAATAGAATAGAATAGAATAGAATAGAATAGAATAGAATAGAATAGAATAGAATAGAATAGAATAGAATAGAATAGAATAGAATAGAATAGAATA